AATTATTATTTTATACATGAATGTTTCTGTTCAATTATTATTTTATAGATGAATGTTTCTGTTCAGTCCTTGAGACGACTTCTGTTGTGACTTGGAGCTTTAGAAATAAACTGAACTGAATTGAAGAACCTTGATATGACAAGTTGTTTTTCACCACTCCAACTCTGATCTCTAACCAAAACTGTTATACCCCGCCCCCTCAGGTGACCATGTCGGTGCTCAGCCCCGCCCCCAGCAGCACCGACGCCTGCCTCAGCATCGTCCACAGCCTGATGTGTCACTGGCAGGGCGGCGAGAACGAGGGCTTCGCCAAGCGGGCCATCGAGAGTCTGGTGAAGAAGCTGAAGGAGAAGAAGGACGAGCTGGACTCCCTCATCACTGCTGTCACCTCCAGCGGCCTGCATCCCAGCAGGTGTGTCACCATCCAGAGGACGCTGGACGGACGACTGCAGGTATGACAGCCCCGCCCCTCTGAAGAAGGTCCAAGTTCTGCAGACTCTGAGGTTCTGTCAGAATGCTAGATCAGCTCCATCCTGTCGGAGCAGGAACGTTTCAAACAAGTCTAACAATTCCATCCATCATCTTTACCCATGGGGGTCACTGGTGTCCATGTCCAACAGTCACTGTGAGAGGCAGGGGACACCTGGACAGGTCTCCAGTCCATCACAGGGACACCTGGACAGGTCTCCAGTCCATCACAGCAGAATTCAGTTCAGTTGATTAATATAGCGCCAACATGTCTTTAAAAGAACCACAGGAAATGGAACCGGGTCCTGGTCGATTCCTACACCTGGTTTGAAACTGGTTTAACCAGTTGTTTTTATTTATTTATTTATTTTTACTTTTTTTTTTATTGATCCTGACCTAGATGACCAGCATCATCTTCTTTTACCTGTTCCCTCTTCAGCAAGTCCTCCTCCATCTCACTCTGTCCTCTGTCCTCACTCCAACTACCTCCATGTCCTCTCTAACTGCATCATATGTCTCCTCTTTGTCTTTTTCCTGCAGCTGCATTTCTAACATCCTGCTACCAATATACCCACTGTCCCTCTTCTGGACATGTCCAAACCACTGTTTGGACACTTAATTCAGATCTTTCTCCTCCACATCACATCCAACCTGTGGAGCATAATCACTGACAACATTTAGCATCAGACCTTCTATCTTCAGATACATCACTCTATCTGACACTCTTTTCACCTCTACTACATTCTTTGTCAACTCCTCCTTCAGGACCACCCCTAAACCCCTAAAAACTCTCTCTCAGTCTGTGAATCCTCTTCCATGAACACCCATGAACTAGTCACTGTACATCAAGTGACCTGTGCTAAGGTGCTTGACCTAGTTGCACCATTAAAAATTAGGGATCCAAAGCGCACCCCACACCCTTGGATGAATGAGATCACTCGCGCAACCAAACATCAATGCAGGAAAGCCGAACGTAAATGGAAGAAGGACAAACGTCACGTTTCTTTTATCATGCTAAAATCATGTTACAAAGAGTACCAGGCCACTGTTAAATCAGAAAAAAAACAAATATTTCTCCCAAATCATCGCCTCAAACAGCCACAATCCCCTCGTTCTTTTCAACACCATTAACTCCATTTTAACCGTGTCAGTCTGACAACTGGGAGGCCTCTGCAGTTACGTGTGAGGACTTTGCCAGTTTCTTTGTTAAAAAGGTTGAGTCGATCAGGTCACTGATTCCTCACACCACAGCTGACCCCTCTGTCTTTGCCCCCTCCACATTAGTCTTTAACCAGTTTGAACCCATTTCCCTCTCATTTCTAAATGATGTCATTGGTCATATGAAACCCTCAGGTTCCCCTGCTGACCCCATCCCTGCATCATTTTTTTAAACAAGTCCTACCCTCCATTGGACCTTCTGTTCTTGACATTATAAACAGCAGTATGGCTACAGGTGTAGTTTCTGACACTTTTAAACATGCAGTGGTAACTCCTTTAATAAAAAAAACCTGGACTTGACACTTCAACCTGCTCAAACTTCAGACCCATCTCCAACCTTCCCTTTCTTTCTAAGATCCTGGAGAAAATAGTTTTCACTCAATTAAACAAGTTCTTGAGTGGAAATTCTATTCTTGAGATCTTTCAGTCTGGCTTTAAGAAACTACAGCACTGAAACAGCCTTAGTTAGGGTCTGCAACGACATTCTTCTGGCAAATGACTCTGGTCAGTCTGTAGTCCTGGTACTCCTTGACCTTACCGCTGCATTTGATACTGTGGACCACAGTATCCTTTTATCCCGGCTAGAACACTGGGTTGGGATTACTGGTCCAGCGTTAGAATGGTTCCATTCATACCTGAGCGACAGCAGTTTCTGTGTTACTTTTGCTAACACTATCTACTTCAGTGCCTCTTTCCTGTGGGGTCCCGCAAGGCTCCATTCTTGGAACCCTTCTGTTTTCTATCGCCTTCCCTTAGGGTCTATCCTGAGGAAACATGGTCTTTCCTTTCATTGTTATGCTGATGACTCTCAGATTTATCTGCCATTAACACCTAACAGTTCCTCCTTCATTCGCCCTTTGTTAAAATGTCTTGATGACATCAAGACTTGGATGGCTGCAAACTTCTTGAGTTTTAATGATCAGAAGACTGAGGTCATTGTGTTTAACCCTAGCTCTGCCACTGTCACTGATCCTGCAAACCTGCACTCCCTTCAGCCTCATCTAAAACAGTCTGTTACCAATCTCGGGATAGTTTTAGACTAGGACTTTAACTTTAATAAGCAAATAAACTCTGTTCTTCAAAAAAAGCTTCTTTCAGCTAAGGCATATAGCTAAGCTCAAGTCCATCCTGTCCAGATCTGACCTTAAAAACTAGTCCATGCATTTATTACAACCCGGCTGGACTACTGTAACTCACTTTATGCTGGGGTCAGTCAGGTCTCTCTCTCACGTCTCCAGCTCGTCCAAAGTGCTGCAGCTCAGCTACTAACAGGAACTCACAGGTTTGAGCACATTACTCCGGTTCTGTCCTCCCTTCACTGGCTTCCTGTGCATGTCAGAGTTGACTTTAAGATTCTTCTGCTGACATTCAAGTGCATTAACGGCCTTGCACCATCATAACTCTCCAACCTCCTTCATCCTTATGCTCCTTCTTGGGTCTTGAGATCATCAGACCAGCTGCTTTTGGCCGTACCAAAAACCAGCTGAAGCTCAGAGGAGATCGGGCATTTTCAGTCATGGGCCCTAAACTCTGGAATAATCTGCCCATCAACATTCGACCTCAGTCTCTGCTTTTAAATCTCTCCGAAAAACACACCTGTACTCACTGACACATCTGTACTCACTGACACATCTGTACTCACTGACACACCTGTACTCACTGACACACCTGTACTCACTGACACATCTGTACTCACTGACACATCTGTACCCTCTGACATTTAACGCAGGGTGATTTGATTTAGTATTTCACTGTTTCTCATTATATTTCATGTTTTTAAGCTTTTATTCGTGTTGCTGTAACATCTTGTTATTAATATTTCATGCTGTGATGTTTTTTGGTAGCACGTTGAGAACAGTTACTGTTTTAAATGTGCTATAAAAATAAATGTGACTTGACTTGATTATACATGCAGGGCACCCCGCCCTGTCAACAGAACCAAGCTCCCTGCCTACCAAACTGCCCCCATTGACAACATCCAACACTGACGTAGCGCTAAGCTAGCAGCTAAAAAGCTAGCAGCTACAAAGCTACAAAGGTAGCGCTACATTTCAGTCACATTGAGCCATCAACCCCCCCCCCCCCCCCGCGCTCAAAAACTGTCAATAAAAACCGTGCGTAACACAGTCCTGTCCATACCCCCCCATATAATATAATATATATATACTAGCTATGCTGTCAGCCACTATTGTAATTGCCCCGTGCAGGGTCTCCCAAGGCAGATTCACCCTGATTTCCTTAAGGCTCTGGACGTTGTGGGGCTGTCTTGGTTGACACATCTTTGCATTGTCACATGGACATCAGGGGCAGTCCCACTGGATTGGCAGACTGGGGTGGTGGTTCCACTCTTCAAAAAGGGGGACCAGAGGGTGTGCTCCAGTTAATAATAATAATAATAAACTTTATTTCTATAGCACCTTCCAACAACGCCTTGCATTGACCAAGGTGCTTTACAAGATAAATAAAAACAGGACACAATAAGTTACAGGGGCATCACTCTCCTTATCCTCCCTGTAAGGTCTGTTCAAGGGCACTGGAGAAGAGAGTCAGACCGTTGGTGGAACCTCAGATCCAGGAGGAACAATGTGGGTTCCATCCTGGCCGTGGAACACTGGACCAGATCTTTATCCTCACTAGAGTCCTTGAGGGGTCATGGGAGTTTGCCCATCCAGTCTACATGTGTTTTGTGGACTTGGAGAAGGTGTTCAACTGTGTTCCTTGGGGTACGCTGTGGGGGGGCTCTGCAAATATAGGATTGGGGGCCAGTTGTTACGGGCTGTTCAGTCCCTATACAAGCGGTGCGAGAGTTTAGTTCCCATTGCCGGTAGTAAGTTGGACCCTTCAGGGTGGGAGTTGGACTCCGCCAGGGCTGCTCGTTGTCATTGATTCATTTCATAACTTTTATGGACAGAATTTCTTGGTACAGCCAGGGGGTGGAGGGAAGAATGGAGCGTGAGATTAACAGACGGATTGATGCAGCGTCTGCAGTATTGCGGACTCTGTGCTGGTCCGTTGTGGTGAAGAGGGAGCTAAGCTGTAAGACAAAGCTCTCTGTTTACTGGTCGGTCTACGTTCCTCCCCTCACCTCTGGTCATGAACTCTGGTAGAGACTGAAAGAATGAGATCGTGGATCCAGGAGGTTGAAATGAGTTTCCTCTGCAGGAGCTGGACTCTCCTTTAGAGACAGGGTGAGAAGTTCAGTTATCAGGAGAGACTCGGAGTAGAACCACTGCTCCTCCACATCCAGAGGAGACAGTTGAGGAGGTTCAGGCATGTCTGACTGGGAGGAGACCCCGGGGAGGACCCAGGACACACTGGAGAGACCATGTCTCAGTTGGTCTGGGAACACCTTGGAGTCCTCTAGAAGAGCTGGAAGAGGCTGTGGAGAGAGATGTCTGGACCTCCCTGCTCAAGATGCTGCGCCCAGACCTGAGTCCAGAACAAGAGGAGGATGCTGGATGGATGATGAATGGATGGATGGATGGATGGATGGATGTGTATATATATATATTTAAATGCATTTATTTTATTTATTATTATTTATTTATTTATTGTTGTATGTGAATGCATCTCATCAGAACCTGCCTGGGTTCTGACTCAGCTGATCTGGGTTCTGTTTAAACTCTGCAGACTGACTCAGCGTCTCCAGCAGACTGAGGTCAGACATGTCATGTTGGTGGTTTGAACTCATCTGTACACATGCATGCTCGCGTGCACACGCACACACACGCACACACTGTGTTGCCATGGTAACCTCTTGTATGACTCACTTCTGTCTCAGTTTTTTTGTTTTCCACATTGGATGATTGTTCACAAACTGACAGCTGCAGCTCTTCTTTAACCTGAGTCTCACCTGTCTCTGTCTCACCTGTCTTACCTGTACAGGTAGCGGGCAGGAAAGGTTTTCCTCATGTGATCTACGCCCGTCTATGGCGCTGGCCCGACCTCCATAAGAACGAGCTGAAACACGTGAAGTTCTGTCAGTTCGCCTTCGACCTGAAGTATGACAGCGTCTGCGTGAACCCGTACCACTACGAGAGGGTGTCAGGACCCGCCTCCACAGGTGACAGGCTCTGCTCGGTCCACAGAGAGATGATCAAACTGAATGATCAGCTCTAGTCCTTTCTGGAAGTCAGTGTTCTAGAACAAGAACCAGAGTGGGTTCTGTTTTGTCTGAATGGAAGATCAGCAGGTTCTGTCACACAGAACCAAATCATTTCAGTTCAGTTTATTTCTGTAGCACCACGTCACAACAGAAGTCGTCTCAGGGCGTTGAACAGAAACATTCGTGTACTGTGTAAAAAGTACGTAAACATTGTTACCAGCCAGATGAGACACAGAGAAACAAACAAAAGCAAAGATCAGTTCTGATCAGAACCTAATTAAAGGAAGAGCGGTAAAGTTCTGTTCACCTCGGTGTGTGCAGCTGCACCTCCTGCTGGAAAAACTCTGCTGACAAACATGAGGATCACAACAATACACCTGTGTGTGGTCGTAAACAAACACCTGTGTGTGGTCGTAAACAAACACCTGTGTGTGGTCGTAAACAAACACCTGGAAGTGTTAGTAAACAAACACCTGGGAGTGGTCGTAAACAAACACCTGGGAGTGGTCGTAAACAAACACCTGGGAGTGTTAGTAAACAAACACCTGTGTGTGGTCGTAAACAAACACCTGTGTGTGGTCGTAAACAAACACCTGGGAGTGTTAGTAAACAAACACCTGTGTGTGGTCGTAAACAAACACCTGGGAGTGGTCGTAAACAAACAC